AAGGTAAAATTTTCAGCGACAAACTTATCGCCGCTTAAATAATTAAGAAGTTCGCAGGAATGTACGTACGTCTGGAGAAGTTAGTTAGTATTTGCATTCCTCCATGCCTCCATTCGCACGGTGTCTAAAGAAGTGCTTTATTTTTGCGATCGCATCGTAAATCCGCGGATCTTCTTTTAATTGTTCGTATAGTGTATATATATATATTGAAAGGAACGACAAGTACGACCATTTGATGGATCTTCCTTGATGGTTTGGTGCGCTTCGTGACCGCATCTCGCGGAGCCGTGTCGCGCATTACCGTTTGAGGACCCCAATAAATAAATCATTTCGCGTTTCGAAGGATTCTCCATTCGTGGCCGCGACAAATCGAGGAACACGCCTTCATTTCAATTATCCACATGGTACACATATATATATATACATAGGCATTTGTTTTATGATCTTGCAAATCTTATTGCTTCCTCACGATTGTCTCCGCAGCTATTTGTACTCTTCTCCGTTTCTTCTTCTCAGAAGCTTCTTAGTCCTATTAAGTACTTTGTTTATTTACATTACAATGAAATTAACAAAGACTCAACAAATCCAAATACTTTGGTTCTCACCATTACATCACCATTGACCCAAAAAAAATAACATTAGTCAAACGACTCACCAATAAAATACTTATATAACCATTGAATTAATGAGTAAAAATCAATGTTTATCACAATTGTTAAAATTAATATTAATACAAGACTATAACTGTTATTTATGCTATAGAATCAGCTATTATTATGAAATAACTGTCTTGGAATTATATAATTATTATACTAATAGCGAAAGTATCATTTTACTTTATTTATAATTGATATCAAAGACGCAAATCGCAATCGCGCGTCTCTATTTTCCTATGTTTACATACAATGTTTATTGTATTACATTTATGGTTCGATCATTCCAAAGTCCTTGCCTTCCCCGTTTGTTTATTTATTTACTTCTTTTTTTTTATGTACCCCGTGTCTCCTATTCGTTTTCTCCATTTTATCTATTTGCCCTCCTCTGTGTTTCACCTCCATCTCGCATAGATGAATACACGAGGCCTCTCCGTCTCTCTATCTTCAGCCCTGGCTGGCAGTCAACTATTTTTGCTGTTGCCGCCGCTTCTGCAGAGGAGATACTGCAACCGTAGATAAGTCGTAAATCGTCGTCCTTTCAGAGAGTGAGTCAAGAACCTCTCCGGTGTTTGATGTTTGCGGTTTCGCGAGATATGTAATTTCCCTCCTCCTCCTCCACCACCACCATCACTTCACCTCCCTCATCGCACTGTTTATTTGTGTGTACGTCTGTTCGGATCGCCATGGGCGCACCGTATTCTATTTCGAAGCATCGTACGTTTCGCTGAATGGTAATGAATAAATGTGTATCTAATGATATTAAATGTAGTCTACACTGACATGCGACCCGCGTGTATAAATTTTCCGGTACGTTTCCGCATCTTACATCATCTCTTTATGCTTCGTGACACATCGACACGCGGTTATCTATTTGCAGATTTATTATACCTACATCTATATCTCGTATACACTTACTTCTATGCGTATCTACGCCAAGGATTGATTAAATATTACAATTAGTTGATTTATAATTGAATCCACTACTTTACCATTTCCAGTTTATGCGTTTGTCTGGAAGCTGTATTCTAATATATATATAGACCTGGTGGTATATAATAAACATTAATGTTCATCTTGTGTGTGTGGTCTATGGTTGGCTGTAAATCAGGATAACTATTTAAAACTCGGTTACGTATTTAAAACGTCATTCAGAGAGGTACGAGCATCCGCAACAAAAATATATATACTTGTAACTCTCACATATAAATATATTCATCTCTATAAATACACGCGTATATCTATATTCAAGGTATATCCATATCTATATGCAATTCATTTTAATTATAAAATAAATGATGGCCCGAGGCGATCGGTGATTTTATACAGTGAACAGTCCTTTTCATACGTGGACTGCGTGCTGCTTGCTACAACGTATTCATTCACTCCATCTCTTTTCCTCTCTCGCCATTTCCAATATGTTTTATTGTGTGTCTGGTCTACTGTACGACAATTAGTCTTATTTATGCACTCGCTATTTATTACAGCTTACCTCCACTATCATGCATTCGTACACACGTGTTCATACATCGCAACAATGTCCTATTTCATTTCTGCCCATTGATCGCATTATTAACTCGATGTATTCCAGAGTTACTCCCCACATGGTAATTGCAAACGAATCGTTCCTCAAACGCACACATTGCATTACTTTAAACTACTAACAACCTGTTTTATTACATTTTTAAGTCATTATCAATAGAAAAAACAATTAATAAAGCTCTTGGAAAAAAAAATAAAAACGAATTAATTAACTACTAGTAAATTCTTGAAGACTTAAACGAAATTTAATAAAGTTAACATATTTATTAATAATAAAAATTGCAACTTTTTCATAGCAATTTTCAATGGAATTTATCCTATTTCACCTAACTGAATTGAAAATTCAGAAATTATATAATAATTATATTTTTTTTTAATACATTGTAATACATACATACACACATTGTTTTATTACATTTTTAAGTCATTATCAATAGAAAAACAATTAATAAAGCCCTTGGAAAAAAAAAATAAAAACTAATTAATCAACTACTAGTAAATTCTTGAAGAGTTAAACGAAATTTAATAAAGTTGACATATTTATTAATAATAAAAATTGCAACTTTTTCATAGCAATTTTCAATGGAATTTATCCTATTTCACCTAACTGAATTGAAAATTCAGAAATTATATAATAATTATATTTTTTTTTAATACAAGAATTTAATTTGTTGTAAATTTATTATTAAAAATTAATTTAGATTTTTTTTTGTAATTGTTAAATCAATTTTCTATTAAATAATTTAACTAGAAAAGTATGTTTGTTGTACGAAAAAAAAATGAAAACGGTATAAACATAGGTACGATTTATTAACAGTAAATCAAGTTAGGAATGATTGAAACGAAAAAAAAAACGTAATATCATGAACACGTACTGCGATCGACCGGTTTTCGATTCGTTATTCGCATTTTCCGCGAGGTTTGAACGGAAAAATGCCCGTAATTAAAAAATATTTTCATTTCGGCGAAAACGTTTGTTCTCTCTCTCTTTACATTCATCATATACATGTTCTCTTTCTCTCGCACACTTCCATCCATTCGCTCGTTTTCATACGTTTCGTTCGGTCGTTTAAATAAAACAGTGTGCGACGATATTGAAAACCGTGTTTCGCGAAAAACACGTCGTGCAGGTATATATATATACATAAACATATATATGCACGTGTCACGCAAAATCCATTCCGTCGTGTTTCGTAATAATGCGTCCGATGATGACAAATGGCTGTTTATTACACATTCCAGTATCGAATCGAACCTGATTTAGGATGACGCAAAACTATGAACAAAATCTGAAGTTGGATAAAACTGATGGAAAAAAAAAAACTAACACGCAATAATTCATACAGAATCAATTTCACAGTTTACAAGGAAATATTTTATGTGTGATTTCCTCTTTTTTTGATGCAAAGAAATCAATCATTGTTTCAATACTTTGTACGAATTTTCAATGGAATTTATCCTATTTCACCTAACTGAATTGAAAATTCAGAAATTATATAATAATTATATTTTTTTTTAATACAGAGAATTTAATTTGTTGTAAATTTATTATTAAAAATTAATTTAGATTTTTTTTTGTAATTCTTAAATCAATTTTCTATTAAATAATTTAACTAGAAAAGTATGTTTGTTGTACGAAAAAAAAATGAAAACGGTATAAACATAGGTACGATTTATTAACAGTAAATCAAGTTAGGAATGATTGAAACGAAAAAAAAAACGTAATATCATGAACACGTACTGCGATCGACCGGTTTTCGATTCGTTATTCGCATTTTCCGCGAGGTTTGAACGGAAAAATGCCCGTAATTAAAAAATATTTTCATTTCGGCGAAAACGTTTGTTCTCTCTCTCTTTACATTCATCATATACATGTTCTCTTTCTCTCGCACACTTCCATCCATTCGCTCGTTTTCATACGTTTCGTTCGGTCGTTTAAATAAAACAGTGTGCGACGATATTGAAAACCGTGTTTCGCGAAAAACACGTCGTGCAGGTATATATATATACATAAACATATATATGCACGTGTCACGCAAAATCCATTCCGTCGTGTTTCGTAATAATGCGTCCGATGATGACAAATGGCTGTTTATTACACATTCCAGTATCGAATCGAACCTGATTTAGGATGACGCAAAACTA